TTGCTGACCAATTACTGGGCATGGAACTTCTTTTAAATTGCCATCCTTCTGTTTTCTCTGAACATTGATGTGTTCATTTGGATCAGAATTTGTTGACAAATAAAAGACAGTCTTTTTGTCCCTCCAAGCAGTTGCACAGAGTTCATTTTTTTGGAGGATTTTATGATCACCATGGTTTTTTAACTTACATGACTTGATTCCCTCGGGCATGCCTTTTCGGTTGGCACGAACGGTCCCACAGCAGTAAACTTCCTCTGCATACAAGTCGGTAAAAAGTCGTGGAGATGAGAAGAAGTTATCCATGTACACATGATGGCCTTTATGGACTATTTTCCTTGTTAGATCCTTTACAACTCTGGTCCCAAGTCCTTCTTCTGTAGTACCACCATCAACTTTACCCGTGTATATTTGGAATTCATGGCAGTATCCATTTTGAGGTGACGCACGCTCCCAAACCTTTATTCCAAACTTCGTAGGCTTCGCTGGCAGGTACTGCTTGAATGATAACCTACCCTTGTAGGCTATCATTCCTTCATCTATACTTTGTTCTCGAGGGGGATTATAGTTGTCCAGACATTTTTGCAATACATCATCTAAGACTGGCCGAATATGGCATAATTTGTCATGACCAGCTGTTCTCCTTGGTGGATTATTTGTGACATCATTACAATGTAAGTATTTTGTTATAAGTTCAAAGCGCGCTCTTGTCATAATCTCTGGAATAGATTGAAATCCAAAGGGCCACTTTTGACTCCACGCTAAAGAATATGTTGGAATCTGCACCACAGAAAAATAAATATAGATTCCAAAGAATGCCTTCATTTCTTCAAGTCCAACTTCCTTCCACTTAGGGTCTGGCTTTGTCTCTTGGCATTTTTCTGCATAAGAATTTGTTTCCTCCACTATTTTGGTAAACAAACTGTCATCAAAAAACTTCAAGAAGAAATCAAGTTCATCTTTCTCCTTTTCAAGAGTAAATGTGGCACCTACCGGCTCTGTAAATGGCCTGTTGACAGGCTTGCGTAAAACTGAACGCCATGCCAAATCCTCGTCATCACTCTCCGATTCCGAGCTAGAATCGGCAGTAGAAAGTTCGGGAGTTGATACTGGAGACACAGATATATCACTTCCAACTTCACGAACTTGAAAATTTTCATTTGCTGTTTCAAAATATCCAAAAGAAAACTCAGAACTATCATTGCTACTTCCACCATCTTGACTACATCACGCTTTCTCAAAATATCGATCGTGTTTCACCCATCTGTATTTGGTTTTCCCCTTTCCAAATTTGGCATTTAATGACGTATATAGGTCGAGTCAACATTTGTCTTGATCCCTTTCATTGGTTTATAAAGTCATGTGACAGCTTTTCTGACCAATGATCGCTTATTTTACATAGGTAAATCAGACGGAAATTTACGTCTTCAAGTATACAAGCATGGCTGCCGATATCGTATATCTGCGTCTCTGAGTATGCAGCGCAGTTATATACGGACGCAAATATACGTCTCTGAGTATGAGAGCGGCTTAGATAAGGACGTAAATATACGTCTGTAGCAGTTAAAGAGTTAAAGGTCTTTCCACCTTCTTTAAATTTCTTTAATTTTCATATTTTACTCTCTAAAGTTAATTTTTATACAAAAAGAATCCAGTAATGGCTTGAAAATAGAAAAAAATGAAAATTTTGAAATGACCTTGACCTTTGACCTTTACCACACATTAAAGGTCAAAGGTTAAGAATCACATTGCAATTAGTTTCATGCTTCTAGGACTTATACTTTTAAAGTTATAAGGCCTACTATTAAGCGCAAAGCCGTTAAAGGGCGATAACTCATATAAAGGGTCATCAGATCCTTTCGCACTGAATAGATTGAAGTTGTGTCTAAAGACCCTGAAGACATTAGTGAAGGTTTGATGTCTCTACGGTCTACGGTTTCAGAGGAGTAGCGATAACAAGGTTTTTCGCACAAGGGGCAATAACTTTCAAAGGGTTTAAGTCTAGGGGACAAGAATGAAATCTTTGAAATAGTTTTAGAAGGACATATTAAAGATGCAAAGGCATATAGTATATGTTGAAAGACAAGAGAGTTATAAATATCTCATAGTTTGAATGACCTTGACCTTTGACCTTGACATAAATTTCAAGGTCAAATGTTAAAGAATTCAATGCAGTTGGTTTCATGTCTCTACGACTTATGGTTTTGAAAATTTTTAATTTTTCATGAATATCAAAAACTTTCAGGGGCAATAACTCATTGAAGTGGTCAACGAATTCTTTCGCAATGAATAGTTTGAAGAATCCCCTCAATTAGTCAAAGACATTGGTGAAGGTTTCGTACCTCTACGGTTTACGGTTTCGAAGGAGTAGCGATAACAAGCTATTCTTGCGAAAGGGGCAATAACTTCGTAAGAGGTCAAAGTTCAAACATGGGGGGTCGTTTTTCGGAATAACTTTTAATATCCAGTATCATGAACTATAAAGTTTTTCGATAAGTCTTGCGGTTTCAAAAGTCCGGGAAGAAAAATAATAATAATAATAAACATAAGCATTTCAAGAGGTCTTTCCACAGAAAGGTGGAAAGACCTAATAATAAACAGAACAATTTCAATAGGACTTTCCACAGAAAGGTGGAAAGCCCTAATAATAATAAACAGAACAATTTCAATAGGTCTTTCCACAGAAAGGTGGAAAGACCTAAATACGTGTAAATTTTCATTGGAAATTTGCTATATATTTTGTTCATATATATTTATTATTTTTTATTAGAGAAATTATAAAATAATAAATATACATGTATATCTACTTAGTACAAATTACTTTTGTCTTCTCTGATTTGAACACCGTGATTTAGCGTGAATGTAATGCGCACACGCAAGATTGTAAAATCCAAAAAATCCAGATGATTTCCGGAATTTTTTGAGGAATTTTCGTTGATTATTAATTAGCGAAGCTTAATTGAGAAAAAATAAAAACAAATTGGTAATCTTCAAGTACCAATGATGTTTAAAGTATATAAAACAAAAGACAGTACTCTTCCGATTTGTCGGTATTAAAGGCCAAAAATTCGAGTCTATTATTTTAATATAGTAGTATAGATAGTATATAGGTCCCTGCTAAAACTTTGCATTTTTTAATTAGGAGCCAGCTGGGGCCTAAATTTTGAAGGTCACTTATAAATAATTAATGCCTGATACATGGTTCATAGGGCAAGAGAAATCTATGTGTGGAAAATCATTAAATTCTGGGAACCCTCAGATATCACCTTCTGCATGATTTTTACATAGACTTGTACTTTATTGAAATGTTACTTTAGAAATGAATAAAAAATAACTGAAAATAAGAAAAATACATGTATTTATGAAATAATAATTACCATAAATTATTTAAAATGCCGGATAAAAATTATAATACATATCGGAATAAATATGTTCACTTTTTTTTAAAAATCATTTTTACTAAAAGCGTTCGAAACCAAAAGATCACCACTATCATTATATACAATGTATGAACATAAATAATATATACAAAATACGTATAAACACTCAACATACAGATTACATAATAAAAGTCTCTTTCCGATGCAGAAAATGGAGGTCAGCTGCAGTGTCTAGCTTGTTTAGAATCTTAACTTGATATCACCATTTTGACAAGTACTCTGTAAATTTATATGCCTAGGTAAATTCGTACAATTGAGATATTTCCTATATACGTTCATGCATAACGCAAAACAGGCATGGGCAATTGGCTCATCCTATCCCCCCCCCCCCCGATTCTTTCTCTATCAAAGAAGTTTTACGTACCATAAAAATGTAATAAACTGATTTATTACACTCTGTGTTATTACAATTTACGTCGATATCAACGCAGAATGTAATAACAAAAATATAATTGCACACTTTTTTGGATTATTACGTTCAGCGTAACAAACCTGTCTTATTTTTTTTTCTCCTCAAATTTATATATGTATATCTACTCTAACATTCAATTCAAAAACATGGAAGAAAAAAATCCTCCTTAGATAGATTTACACTTACCAAGAAAAAAAAAATAAACATAAAAGCAACAAAATATAAATGTATGATTTTATAAAAACACTTTCGTCAGACTTTGAGTATCTAATGACTTTAAAACGAGGAGTGTGTAAGCTTAAGATGTAGCATTCATCTTGCAAATAATTGATATATACAGAACTGGGAGTAAGGATGTCAACGATATCCATGTGTCCCAGGGATCTGTCCTATGCCGTGTCACAAGACGGCTGTATCCCTATATGTATCACAGGCTGCAGCCAGGTACTAAGACACCGCGTGGCCGTAGGAACCAAGGAGGGCATGGGGGCTGTGCCCCCTAATAATGTTGCCGATGTATAGAATACTATAGAAAACATAGCTACTATATGCTTGTGCCCCCTCAATAATAACGTCTGATGACCTTTTCCTTTTTTGCTTGTCAAGGAATTTTGGTAGTCGATAGTGTCCCCCAACTGAAAATGTATGGCTGTGCCCCCTCAAAGTGAAATTGCATCCTACGGGCCTGCATGGCTTGTTAAACGCCACTGTACATGTATAATAAGCTAGAAAACACAATACAACACTCGGCAGTTGTATTTACAATAAAACATCCCATTAATTACAGTCACCATACCTGCTTCTTAGACAGCCAAACACAGAATGACGATATCACCTCGGATGCACTCTTATATACACTAGCGACATCGGATTAACCTTGGCTTCCATCATACATGTACCCCTAATGATAAAACCCGTTATCAAATTAACACCGAGCCCGATCTTCACAAATCGAAAAGAAGATACAAATCAAACAATGTCTTTGTTTACATTCATTTCAGATCTTTTAGGTATTTACTAAATAAAAGAGAATTTTGAATGTAAGGAGAAAATTGTGAAATGTTGTTGAATGAAAGATAATGACAAGTTATAATTGGATTTTTGCTTGTACATGACTTTTGATTTTTTTTATCCTTTGTTTTCTTTATTAGGTGAATACAATAACTTTTCACCGGAAGTCAGATGTCTTTTGTACAGCTTACTGTTAACTGAAAAATATCAGCTGAATCTCAATGAACAATCCTACAGAATCACAAGGGACAAAATCAGAGACAGATTTTTCACTTTTATTACTGATGACGGCTTGGTAGATCTTCCTGATGGGATCACAGAAACACATAATGGTGTGATATCCTTTATATCAGACGATATCCGACATGACGTCATGTACGCCTTTGTTACGGAGTGTTTGGTGGAGGACAGTGATCTGGAGTTTTTCCTGGCCACGGCGTCACGTGACGTGATATCAGAATACTGCAGGTCCTGGAAGTATGAGAGGAGTGAGGGAGAGAGATGTCTGTATATACCGGACAGACCGGATAAGATGTACGACCTCTTCATAGACAAACTACAGCTGGACATCATCACACACTGTACCGTGTCTGACAGGGGGATTCATGGCAGTATCAGTAAACGTTGTAAGTATCAATTTAGCATAGTTACTATTTGCTAAGAAAGTAGTGATATAGTCAATTTAATACCTGCTTTGGAAATAAACGTGGATTTTTATTCATACACTTCCTAAATTTTCTGCGGAACATTGATCAATCTTGTACATAAATTCCATTCAAAATTGTAAGTAGTATATGCTGAATAATGGTTCTATAAGAAATTATTTTATTTAATATTTTGTACTAAATAAGATGATACTTTCAAAGATATATGAATTTCGGTAAATTCAGAGCGAAGTTTGAGGAAGTATTTTTGTGTCGCCTAGAGCAGAGCGGCACTTAGGGATCACTTTACCCGGCGTCTGTCTGTCTGTCCGTCTGTCACACCTTATATCTCGAGAACTGTAAGAGGTATATGTATTTGATATTTTGCACACATATAGGTTGGCTCTATGGCTTTTGTGTTTTACCATGATTACCGACCTAGTTATCCTTGAACTTGACCTTTGACCTACTTTAACTTCTTTTTGACATTTAAGAGGTAAGTCTATGCTATTTAGCATATGTACTGTTTGTCATAAAACATTTTGAAAAATACTAGCGTCACAGTCCACTTTGCCTTGACCTTTCACCTACTTTGCAAAATATACTGTAAAATTTAACTTATGTCTTTTGAATTTAGAGAGGCAGGGATTTGATAATTAGCATTTATACATGTTTATGAGCTCATGACAATGTACTTTGACATTGTATAAAATACAATAACCACAAAAGAATGAAATTTAAGAACTATGAGAATACATTGGGATTGGTATTCCAGTATGGATGGTGTGGACTGACAATTGCGGTAAAGACAGACTGAAGTCTCTCTTGAAAGATTGTTTAAAATCACATATTAATTATTAAATTAATTGAAAAATAATTATTTATTATAATTTAAATTTTATTAATATCCATTTCAGCTTTGAGGGGTTGGGTATTTGTATTTCTATCTGATTGTCAGATTCTCTTGCACTCTTACAATCCCTGGATTTTTTTGCATGAACTAAATGCTGGTAGCAAATAAATAGCTGACCACTTTTAGATTTAGTTACATCTTTAATGAAGCTAAAAGCAGGCGACACATGCGTTCCTTGGAACACTCTAGTTTTGGATTTCTGTTAGGTTTTTGTTCTCAGAAACTACTAAGAATTAGTTCTCATATAATATAAGTTTAATAATGTGATTTAAAAGCAGTGTTTGAAATATCTGCATTTAACTCCGTTCCCCGCAGTTACGCTATTTGATCAGTTGCAATTCGTATGGAATGTCAAGGTTATCAACCTATAATTTTATTGGTACATTTAAAAATATGAACACATTCAATTCTTAGCTTATTTGAATCAAGCTCAGGGGTCAAAATTAACGGGAAATACTCGCTAAATACGAATTAAAAACAGATATTGCTATTTAAAAGCGACCTGTGGTCGCCAACTTTTGTGAGTAAAATAAAATCAGTCCTTTTCGGATTTTTTTTTAGTTTATTCCAGAGATGTGCGATAAGCATTGCCTCACACCCGGGGCTACCATTTTTGGGGGTAGGGCTAGTGATTTTATGCTGTAACAGGCGAGGAAAAATGTCGGCCAGACTGGGACCCGTTACACTCTTCCCCCCTTTTTCTTGAGGTTCTTCATCCTTAAAACCTCACAGAGACTCTTCTAAACTACCCGTGGGTTTTATTGTTGGGCGCCAAATGTAACAGGCGGGGAAAATGTCGGTCAGACTGGGACTCTAACCCGGGACTTCCCGCTAACCGTGCGGGTGCTCTAACCACTGAGCTATCGGGCCGACGTATCCAATCCCCGTTACAATGCACAAAGGTGCCCCACGGGCTAGTAAAAATTAAGATTACCCATGTAGCCTAATACATGAAAAGCCCTACAGGTATTTTATTCACTTTTTTTGCTATCAAATTCTCAAACAATGAAAAATTTCCAGGTAGCATGCTCCCGTTGTTCGTAAATCTCCATAATCTTATCCATTTTGCAGTACTACCGGACCTATTTACTCCCAAAAACGATCGTTTTTTCCTAATCCGAATTTCCTTCATTCCTTTGTTTATGGTAAATGCATGTAGATAACCCATTTAATTATTTACGATCACTTAATCAACTAGAGAAAAAGTCTTCTGTGATTTTTCAAAAAATATATTTCAAGAGTATTTAATGATTTAAGATGAAAAAGAATAATTTATTTTTAAAATTATTTTTTTTTATTTTCAGTCATAATTGATTTATATACGATTCAATTTTACTAGTGATAATTAAACTTTAAATTTAAAAAAAGAATGACCTTTAGACCCTGACTTTTTCAACGATAAACTATTTTTCCCCTACGTTTGAGCTAGTAACTTTACTTGGGGTAGTCTGTGGGCTAGTGCTTCATCCGATCAGGTTTCTCCTTGTATAAAATGACCTTAATACTCACAGGGTGTAAATAAGTTTTCTGTGAACTCATTCAAATAATTCCTATGTTAATTACTATGAGAAGAAAAAAAATGCCAGTGAAAGTTCAATATTGCTTGTAAAAAAATATTCCACTAGCTAAAATTTGCTAGTGGTCAAAAAGTTAATTTCGATCCCTGAATCTGCATTAGAGTTCAAATGCATGCAATATATGACAAAGTTCCTGTAGATGAGAATTCATGCATGTGTATTAAAGGGTTAAAAGATTGCGCAGTAATTTAAATATAAAATACATTTAAAAAATGAATTCAAGTTTTGTTGTTTGTAGCTTGTTTAAGCTACGTTCTCGCGAGAATAAAAACAATTAAAACTTTAACAAAAAAATAAACTCGCCTTGATTTAATGGACATATTGCAGATAAATAGTAAATAAAACGTTCTTCATTATAGTCAACAATGTTCAGGCTTAGATTTGGTAATGCAACTTAAATACGACGTCGTGTGACGTCAGAGTCTAGACGCACCAAATGTCACTTGCAGTTTGACGATCGAGTCCGATCTAAATTAAATCTGAATAAGTATCTGCGCTCGCCCTCACGGTCGCACCGTCAACATATTATATTTCTGCTCTGATTGACTAACTTAACTGCCCTGAGTAACGAAATATTAATATAGAAAGAACAAAAAAATTCGCTTTTATTAGGATGCATGAGCCAACTTCCAGCCCAACCCGGGGTGTACCTCTCGACGTAGGACAGCGCCGCGAGAATGCCTAGATGGTCGAGTAATCTAACACGCTGTTCCTGTACTGCTAGGAGACAGACTCCGTAGATCGAGAGTTCAATTCGGGTTGGGGCGGAAGGATCTAAAAATGAATTTCTACGTTCATTAGACATGTGAAGGGGGCATACCCCTGCTTTTTGTGCAATATTACATTATATATGCTTTATAATTTCTGTACAGGCTTCCTTAAAAACAGTTTTCATGGACATTTTTCGTTATCTGCAAATAGCAAAATATTTGTTCGACTTTGTGCCGATGTAAAATGTTTTAACTTCTACATTGCCCAATGAAGTCTGAAGCTTCCTTCTATTCCAACTGAGGGTAATTTTTTGGAAAAATGGTCATCCCCAGTGACTTTTCCTCCGATAATACTTCCCGATTCAGTCCTCCGTACTTTGTTTTTAGCTCACCTGAGCTGAAAGCTCAAGTGAGCTTTTCTGATCACATTTTGTCCGTAGTCCGTCTGTCCGTCCGTCCGTCTGTAAACTTTTCACATTTTCGACTTCTTCTCCAGGACCACTGGGCCAATTTCAACCAAACTTGCCACAAAGCATCCTTGGGTGAAGGGGGTTCAAGTTTGTTCAAATGAAGGGCCATGCCCTCTTCCAAGGGGAGATAATTAAGAATAAGTGAAAATTTGGTGTCTTCTTTTAAAAATCTTCTTCTCAAGAACCACAGGGCCAGAAAAGTTGAAACTTATGGGAAACCTTCGATACATAGTGTAGATTCAAGTTTGTTCAAATCTTGACCCCCGGGGGTAGGGTGGGGCCACAATGGGGGATCAAAGTTTTACATAGGAATACATAGGAAAATTCTTTAAAAATCTTCTTCTCAAGAACAACAAAGCCACAATTAGTCATATTGATATGAAATCATCCTCAGGTAGTGTAGATTTAAGTTTGTTCAAATCATGACCCCCGGGGGTAGGGTGGGGCCACAATGGGGGATCAAAGTTTTACATAGGAATATATAGGAAAATTCTTTAAAAATCTTCTTCTCAAGAACAACAAAGCCACAATTAGTCATATTGATATGAAATCATTCTCAGGTAGTGAAGATTCAAGTTTGTCCAAATCATGACCTCTGGGGGTAGGGTGGGGCCACAATGGGGGATCAAAGTTTTACATAGGAATATATAGGAAAATTCTTTAAAAATCTTCTTCTCAAGAACAACAAAGCCACAATTAGTCATATTGATATGAAATCATCCTAAGAGTAGTGTAGATTTAAGTTTGTTCAAATCATGACCCCGGGGGTAGGGTGGGTCCACAATAGGAGATCAAAGTTTTACATAGGAATACATAGGAAAATTCTTTAAAAATCTTCTTCTCAAGAACAACAAAGCCACAATTAGTCATATTGATATGAAATCATCCTCAGGTAGTGTAGATTTAAATTTGTTCAAATCAAGACCCCCGGGGGTAGGGTGGGTCCACAATGGGGGATCAAAGTTTTACATAGGAATATATAGGAAAATTCTTTAAAAATCTTCTTCTCAAGAACAACAAAGCCACAATTAGTCATTTTGATATGGAATCATCCTCAGGTAATGTAGATTCAAGTTTGTTCAAATCATGACCCCCGGGGGTAGGGTGGGGCCACAATGGGGGATCAAAGTTTTACATAGGAATATATAGGAAAATTCTTTAAAAATCTTCTTCTCAAGAACAACAAAGCCACAATTAGTCATATTGATATGGAATCATCCTTAGATAGTGTAGATTCAAATTTGTCGAAATCAAGACCCCCAGGGGTAGGGTGGGGCCACAATGGGAGATCAAAGTTTTACATAGGAATAAATAGGAAAAATCTTTTCAAGAACAGGAAAGCCGTGATTAGTCATTTTGATATTGAAGCATCCCCAAGTATTGTAGATTCAAGTTTGTTCAAGGCATCCTCCAGTAGTAGGGTGGGGCCATAATCGGGGATCAAAGTTTAACAAAAGAATATATATAAGAAATATCTTAAAAAATCTTCTTCTCAAGAACAACAAAGCCATAATTAGTCATATTGATATGGAAGCATCCTTAGGTAGTGTAGATTCAAGTTTGTTCAAATCTTGAACCCCCCTTCCTTCCTCCCCCCCCCCCCCCCCCAGGGTAGGATGGCAGACATCTTTAAAATTCCGTTTCAAGAATAGCAAAACCATGATTAGTTATATGAATATAGAAGCATCCTCAGAAAGTTTAGATTCAATTTCATTCAAAACATGGCAACTGGGGATAGGTTATGCCTAGAACAGTTGATCAAAGCTTTACGTATGAATATATAGAAGAAGAAATCTGCTGACAAAGAACAGCAGGGCCATATTGACTCAGGTGAGCGTTGTGGCCCATGGGCCTCTTGTTATTTCTCTTAAGAGTTCTTTGATTAGAATTAATTGTGCGCTTTTCTACAAACAACACAGTTTATACATTTAGGCATGTTGAATGGGTGTTTTCCGATCATAATGACAGTTTTAACAGTAAAAAAATAAAAATATTTTATTTTCCAAGTATGTACTTATCTAATACATGTATATTTTAAAATAGAAGTCTTCTCCAAGAATTAAACCCGATGAAAAAAAGATTTGACTAGCAATAGATTGCAGGCACTAGACACGATGTCGCATAGGTGTGCTCAAGGGTGAAAGTGAATAGGTTTGAGTCACGTGTTCAGTGCATCGTTATTCATGAGGTCAAAGTCGGGTTGAAATTTGTAAACAAGGTGTCTTTACTATAGAGACAAGTACCCGTGTATTTGAACTTTTTTGTAAATAACAAATGAGTGCACGACTATTTCAATTTCTTTCATGAATTTAAATGAATATAACTCTCTATAGTGACCATATTTAGGACAACCTGAAACATTAATGTGCTCATATTAAATTGGGCTTGCCAAAACGGGGTGTGGCCTATAGTCTATGAGAAATCGATGTTAACAACGCACCCCTGCTACAGTGATCAGATAATTGCCTATATATAGTGCATGCATGGAAGTAAAAATTGAAATTAATAAACTACAACGTTTGAAGGAAGGCTGAGGCAAAAATATGTAGAAAAACACTTGCGAATGCACACTACTGTATTAAAAAGCCAATTGCTCCATTTCATGTTTAACAGATTTTGGCAGAAGACATTATAATGAAAAGTGCAATGATATAATATTTCTTAAATATGTTGGAAAATAATCAACATACTAGATATGTTTTACGTACATTATTGATCAAGAAAAAGTATACATCCACATCCATTCTGTCCAAATTGCAAAGTTATTCTGTGAAAAGAACGGTTTTGTGGGCGTCAGAGTAAAATTTTCCCACACTCATTGTCACAAAGTGGCATTAACTATGTTGCGAGACCTACATTACCCATTTTCATTGACCTTACAATGTTAAATCCTCTCCTTATCTTTTTTCCCGAAGATAGCCCGAAGTAAACATTCCGAGCTACCAAGCATGATGCCTGTACTTCAACATCAGCATTGCTACTTTGTGAAACGCAGTCGGTAAATTTAATTTGGGACTAAGTGATTGGTATTTCTTAGTTCTTGCTAGTCACCTCATTTGCTTGGTCTACATGTATACAACGAACACTGAGCACAAATATGCTAGTACTGTCTAATATGTTCTGAAAAGACAGCTACTTTTGCCGTCTTGTGCTTACCTTTCGACCACCGGAGAATAAGCTTCTATGAAGAGGGAAAAATAATTAAAATATGAACCACCGTGACAATCAGAAAAAAATATGACTCATGTGATACTAAATAAAAATCAGCCTCTGTCTTCCAGTGCCTGGATCTTGTTACTCTGTCAAAAACTATTACATTTAAGGGACAGCTTTTCTTCTATTTTTATTCTTTTTCCGGTGGCATTTTTCATTTTCCGCTTTCTTATGACGCCTAGATTGTATTTGTGCATATTAATCGCATGGAGTCCAGAAGAATGCTTTCACGAAACATCAAGAATTCTACAGAATTAGATTAAAAGCAAAAGCTATAAAATTTCATGAACTAATTAATTTGATCCCCTTCTTAGTATATATAACTTTGTTACACTGTATGATGTCCTCTCCTTGAGTCCAAAAGGGGTTATGGTAGTGGTGGAGGTGGTGTGTATGTGTTTTTTTTGTTTTTGTTTTTGTTTTTTTGTTTTGTTTTTTTTTTTGGAAGGGGAGTATTTCAAAAACAACTCTTATTCGGATTATATCTCGCCCAAAGTTATTCCCCGAATCATCAAAGAATTCACTTTATGTGTCTTGTGTGTCAAAAGAAAGCCTTGCATATTCAAAAAGTATGTCAGAATCATATATTAGGAAATATTCAATAAAGTTTTTATGCATATAAATTTTCATGTCCAGATCATAACTAGCACATTATTATGCAGCTAAGCATAGTCCAATCGTGTCCACTGTTACTGAAATGGAATTTATAAAAAGGCAGATTGAATCCTTTTTCAGAAAGAAAACTAGGTATCGATGTCACTTAATGCTAATGATAGAAACAAATAAAGAGATACGATTATTTTTTATCTAGTAAACATACCGGAGGAAATTTTGAAATGGGATACAAATGCAAGAAAAAGATTTGCTGAGAGTCTCCGCCATGGAAGAGTAGAAATGTTCCGTGCACGAGGTATGATTGTGGGATGTGCAGGTGCAGGTAAAACAACTCTCCTTAGAAAGCTTCAAAGGAAACACACAAAAGAAAATCAAACTACAGAGACAACACTCGGTCTAGAAGTCCATGAAGATTTGTTTGAAATTAAAGATGGCACTTTATATGGTAATTCATTTTTACATATCAACAGTGTTTCAAATTTAGTTTCAACTGATTCCAGAACACATTTATACTACATATATAAAATTTTATAATTGCGCTTGAAGTAACTTTCATTTCATTTACATTTGGGAGGGACTGTTTCACATATATATATATATATATATATATTGTTCCCTTTTTATACGCCCGTCTTAAGACGGGACGTATTATGTTATAGCCTTCATGTCCGTCCGTCCGTCCGTCTGTTAGCTTTTTCGTGTCCGGCTCATAACTTTAATACTATTAGGCCTAGAATTATCAAACTTTGTCAGCTGATATGTCTTGGGTAGAAGGTGTGTCGCGCATTAAATGTAGGTCGCTCTGACCTTTAATTAAGATGCTATGGCCAAATATGGAAAAATCCTGTCCGGCTCATAACTAGAAAACTATTAGACTTAGAATCATCAAACTTGGCCAATTTATGCATCTTAGGTAGAAGATTTGTCGCGACCTATTTCAAGGTCACTGTGACCTTTAATTTAGTGAAATTTTCAAAAAAACTGTGTCTCTATACTATTAAATTTCACAATCCCCAAAAATGTAAGAATGTTACCTTATTCTTATTAAAAAAAAATGTTAAATCAAGAAAATTCTTTTTTTTTTTCATTATATACTTTACAGCAATCTATAACAAATGTAATGTTATAAAAGAAATTCCGCCTCACCCATGGGTGTAATCATCAAGCACTGGTCAAGGAGAACTTGATAACAGAAAATTACATGTCAAATTAGAGAGAAATTAATGACTTTAGTGTGAGGAACTGGTAGAGCATCTCTGATCAAGCAGGTGTTATCTATATCTCCTGGGAATTGGGGAAAGGAATCAGTGTTGGATTAAATGAATAAATGAATCTATTTGGTTAACCTTTTAACTTTTAAAATGAATTTGGTGAAAATTAATTAAAACTAACTTGGTAATGTATAATAAACTAATTTGATATTGTATAATATAATTAAAACTAATTATACCCAGGGGGAGGGGGGGAATATTGGAATCAGCATGTCGGTTTGTCTGTTTGTCAATATGAACTGCAGTTTAACACCAGTCTGACATTAAATCTCAAAAAAATTATCAAGTATTTTTTTTTTTTAATGTTTTATTGTAGATAGTTCCTACAAATCTAAGAGTCATGCAGTAACCTTATGAAAAATATTGCATCAAGATTACACAAGTTTTTGTTTCTTTTTATAAATCTTCGTAACAAATTAAAAAAAATCTCTGTTTTCAACATAATAACATAAATATTCATTTTTATTACATTGAATACAGACTATTAAAGCAGATAGTGCAGATCCATTCATCCCTTGGGAGTAATGGACATGCATCCAGTTAAAGATTATAATTAATGAGTTCAATGTATAGGAAGGCTAGCTGTCTCAATCATTTCTGTTAGAGCATCTCTGATCAAGCAGCTCTGATCTGTATCCTTTGGGAATTAGACAGAAAAACTGCTTGTCAGTTTATAGCATATGTCACTTGATGGCCAGCCTTTTATTTTCAAAATTAATTTGGTATAGATTAAATTGTTAAGACTATTTTGATAATGTTAAATATGATATTTTTATTTAATTTTTTGAAAATATCAAATAAATATGATAGATGGGGGGGGGGGGGGGGGGAGGAGGGGCTGCAGATGGGCATTTGTCAAGGTCTAACACAACCAGTTGAGAAATTTATTGTAATTAGTGCCTGCACTACAGGAAATGTATAAACATCAAATATTATAAGGAATGGAAAAATCAAGGAAATCTTTGAATTAAGGTTGACATGATTTTCTTGCACCCTAAACTGTTTAATTTAATATGATAATTGAACAATATTTGACGGGCGTATCATGCTGTGGCGAGGCACTTTATTGTTTTGTATCTAATCAGATTTCAGCGTTAATGATGAAGATATTCCTGTTGCAAGATTCTTACGGCACAATACAGAGGAAGAGAAAATGGTTATCAAAGGCATTCTTCATCACAGCAGCCGTGGTACAAAGCTGATCAGTATGACAGACTTTGCCGGACAAGTAGCTTATTACGCATGTCACCAGGTTTACTTGTCAAGCAGAGCGTTTTATATCGTGGTCATTGACATGTCTTTGGGTCTGGATGAGGAAGTTAGAATTTACCACACTGATCGCCATAACCCAGAAGGGTCATTGTTCCATTCCTGGAAATACAAAGGTGAGTTTCATAAAAAGCAAACTATGTTTTCTTCCTTTTATTCTAGACATCAATGGATGTTTCCTCTATAATATTTTACATGTACAACCTTAACTTATTCATCAAAACGATGAATAGTTTTAAAATGTTTTAATACCAAATCAATAACATTTATAGGGCAATAAATTATTTATATTCCAATATTAATCACTGTTTAATGTTATCGATTTTACTGACTTAACCATCCCATTACCCACAATAGATTGATCTTACAGCACCATGGCTAAGTTCTATAACCTGTTTAGAGAAACGCTTTGTTTTATTATAAGTCAACATACATTTTTTTATTTAACAATGTTGTTATTTTTTATTGATGTATAACATTTGAAGACAAAACTAATCGCAGGTTACTGAAAAGAGATTTATAAATACAATTACCCACTTTAAGAAAGTAAAGGACAATTATGATAACAACTTTAGGTACCTTTTATCATTTATGTTTAAAACGTTTCAACAAGACAAAGATAAATGTGTCTATTTTACAAGTAAAAAATATCAGATTTCAATGCAAAACAAATCCTGAATGATGATCCTGTGATTAAATAATAAGTCCTGATTTACATATGATTTAATTTTATGAGCTTTTCATCTATAAAGGACATTTTACATGTAATATTTGAAGATCATGAGAATTTGACTTTCAAAACTGAGAGATTTTTCAACTGTATTAGTGTTAATGGGTAAGATTAAGATAACATAATTACCTTCCTCAGTATATTTTAAGAAATTTCATTCAGATTTACCTGTGCAAAGTTCGATTATTTTATGAATATACAGTCTTTAGCAGTATACAGTTAAAGTATAGGAACTGGAATCTCATTAATTCCGTAAATGATATACTTTTTAATTGTTTTATTATACCGATACAAAGTAAAATATAGAGGATAACGGGTAAGCGGGAATTAGCTTTCGAAAGAGAGATTAGCTCACTTGACTTACGCACGTGGGTTAGTATACATGTATATCTAAATATTATACTGATACAAAAATAAAATCTAGAAGATTACGGATAACCCGCAATTAGCTATGGAAGCAGGGCTTAGCTAATCTGACCAACGCACGGGGATTAATCCATTCACAGAGATTGTAATGAGTTATTCACATCTAACGATCTAATTTAATAGATGGGGAAATCAGTAGAGGTATAATAAAACTAAGTAACGCATCAAAAGGAGATATGCTAGTATATTTTATTCCCCTGATCAGTATGTAAGATATTTTTTCTAATGTCTTATTTTATATTTTTTGTTTGTTTTTTGTTTAACGTCCCTCTCGAAAATATTTCACTCATACGAGACGCCACCACTTGCCGGTGGAGAGCTGCAAATTTTTAGGTCACCTGAGTCACTCAGGTGACCTATTGCTATCCGTTTTCGTCCGTCGTCGTGCGTTGTCCGTCGCGCGTTAACTTTTGAACATTTTTTTACTTCTTCTCCAGAACCGCTCAACCAATTTCAACCAAATTTGATATATAGCATCTATGGGTAAAGGGGAACAAAAATTGTGCATTTCATGGTCCCTGCCCCCCTGGGGCCTGAGGGATGGGGCTAAAACCACCAAAATTAATTCAATCTTTAAAAATCTTCTTCTTTACTCCTGGACATCAAGCAGTCAAACTGTTGGCATGATTGTAATAAGCATTGAGCCCTCTACCAAAATTGTGAAATTCATGGCCCCAGGGTCAGGGGTTCTGGTGCTAGGGCGGGGCTATATAGGTCATATAGTGAAAGTGCATTATTTCTTTGAAAATCTTCTTCTCTACTCCTGGGTATTATTGAAACAAATTAAATACATAGTTATGATAAGCAAAAGTGACTCTACCAAAATTGTGAAATTCATAGCCCCAGGGTCAGGGGTTCTGGTGCTAGAGGGGGTGGGGGCTATATAGATCATATAGTGCAAGTGCATTATTTCTTTGAAAATCTTCTTCTCTACTCTTGGTTATTATTGAAACAAATTAAATACATAGTTATGTTAAGCAAGAGAGACTCTACCAAAATTGTGAAATTCATGGCCCCAGGGTCAGGGGTTCTGGTGCTATTGCGGGGCTATATAGATCATATAGTGAAAGTGCATTATTTCTTTGAAAATCTTCTTCTCTGTCCCTAGTTATTATTGAAACAAATTAAATACATAGTTATGATACGCAAGGATGCTTCTTCCAAAATTGTGAATTTTATGGCCCCAGGGTCAAGGGTTCTAGTGAAAAGGTTGGAGGGGGGGGGGGGGCTCTATTGATTATGTAGTGAAAAAGCAAAATTTCTTTGAAAATATTTCTGCTTCTGGTTAAAAAGCAAAGAAGCTAAGTATATAGTTATGATGAGCAAGAGTGCTTTTTCCAGAGTAGTGAATTGCATGACCCCGGGTCAGATGTGCTGGTGTAGGGGTGGGGCTCTTGATAATATATTGAAAATGCATTAATTCTATTAAATAATCCTGTCTGCTCCGTAGTGTTAAGCAGATAAACAAAATGATCACTTATGATGAGCAAACTTCTGGTCCCAGGGTGAGACTCTAGTGTTTTTCGGTGGAGGGGGGGGGGGGCTCTATTGACAATATATTGAATCTGTAGTAAAAATGCATTATTTCTTTAAAAAATGTTCTGTGCACTTGGGCATATCAGAGGCAAAAAGATTAAAAGTTTTAATAAGGAAGGGTATTTTTACCAGATTTTTTAACATCTGGACCATTTGGTCAAGTGTTTTGGTCCTGGCCAGGGCTCTATTAATTTGTATTCTACTGAGAGGAGTTATTCCCCTTTGTCATTTACTTTTGATAATTAATCACTGTAAACAATGTGCTTGAAAGGTTAATAGAATAAGAGAATTATGCAAGAATTTTTATTGTATAATACAAAAAGTATTTTCATAGTTTTAATGATTAGGTAAACTTGTAAGTAATAGATAAATAAAAATGGAACAAAAATAACTTGTCTTATTAAATGTTCATCAAAGACCAAAAGAGGCCAATGTAAGAGATTTCAACAAGAAATTAAAATAGTACAGAAGCACTGATAGGATTTTAATATACAGTATAGCGATAGTGATATATGGGGAACAGATTAGAGCCTAATTTATAAACTGTCAATGAATACTAGATTAATTATTTTGTTGATCCTGATCACCCTATTTTTCTTGCTTTTGGGCAACAAAGCTTCACCTTTCAGTTCATTTTATACTCTATGGATCCTCTAAATTGTTGTGTTATACTCAGGTGACCGTTAAGGCCCTTGGGCCTTTTGTTTACCTGTACTTGGCACTCAGGACCATTGAGCAGTTAGGGATCTTTTTCGTGCCAGCACCTACCGCGACATGGGATTTCAGTTTATACGGTCTAATCCGAGGGACCGGTCTCCACGTCTCACAGGTACAGTGGGATTCGAACCCGCTACGTAAAGATCAACTCTTTACTCCGCGACTCTAGAGCAAACGCTCTACCACTGCGCCACGCAGGCGACTATAGCTACATTTAATTTTTACCGACACACAAAGATACATGCTGCATTAATTATGTCATTGTCATAAATAAAACCCTAAACGTGTGCATAAATTATACGTTCGTGGTCTTTGCAGTTGGGGATTTTCTTTACTGCATACATTCATATAAGTTATTGATCTTTACAGACTATTTCCATTTCTGGTTGCAATCAATACAGACATACTGTGATGTCGGAAAAACACACACAAGCCAGGAAAGCGCAGAGTCAAGAGGCAGCTTTCATCCTGTTATTATTGTTGCTTCTCATGCAGACAAAGTGGTAAGAAACAATACAAATCCTACAAATTTATAAATACAAAAAAATGAGTTTGCTGATGCTTAATAAACAATTATTCCATGATCTAGCATCCTCATATTCAAGGATTTGTATGTTTACACGATCATAGCAAAAATCAAACGGCAGGTATAATCGGTTGACAGTGAAAGCTCACTCCTCCATGGCACCTGACCCTACCTCTGTTTTCAGAGGTCCATGTTTGCTCTGCTCACAATTTGAATTGTTTTATCAGACTTTGAGTACTCAATTGTAGCACTAGGCAAGTGACAAAACATATCTCTACATGTTGAATACCTTACACAGTAGGTAAAAATCCATTTTAATTGTATATATTGCATTCACTATCATCTTTGTACGACTTGGGAAAACCAAGTACAATCCCAAGGAGATTGCTAAGGTTTCACACGTCACAGTAAGCAAGGGTATTTTACCAGATTTTTGACTTTCTTGGGCAACATTGCTTTTTCTATCAGTTAATTTTGTTTTTTACTTCTATAGATCATTTACAGTGTTGCATTATACTCATTTGACTGTTATGTCCTTGGGTCTCTTTTTATATAATGTTGCATTAATGCCAAAATGAACGTTCTACCAGTACGCCCACTAGTGATACAATTCCCCATTTACATCATGAATGGTCAATACCAACGTCTAAAAATGCTATGAATTAAAAATCAAAAAAGAAAACAAATATGTGCAGCCTAGATCACTAATATTTTGATACATTAGTGGTTGACCTTAGAACTTAAACATGATACTATAGTACAGTAACTGTTTCTGCTATTACTATTTAATTAATTTTTTATTACTTTTGTAGAAAAACTTATTGAAAGCACAATATTTAATCTTTTTTAAAACAGAAAGAGGATTTGCAGAAAATGTTTTACGAGGAACTGGAAAACTGCTTATCCGATGAACAATCTTTGAAGCACCTTATATCTCCGAACAGATATCTTAAAATCGAATGTCCACCAAATAACTTGTCATCAGAACAACAGGACTCAGTTGAATGCCTCAGAAAATGTATCGTAAAAACTGTAGAAAGTATGCCACAGTGGGGAGAGGTGATTCCTTTGAAATGGGCAAATCTGGAAAAAGTCCTAAATCAGATGAAGGAAAATAAAAAGAGGGTTATTTCAGTACAATACCTTAAAGAATTAAAAAACGTAGATTTACCTTGCGATAAAGATCTTGAAGATGGCCTTCGGTTCTTACACGAAATAGGTCAGATCGTTTATTTTGCTGAGGAGAAAATGAAGGATGTGATAATTGTTGATGTTCAATGGTTTGTTGATGCCTTCAAATACATCATTACTGATGAAAAACATCTAGCTAGAGAAGGTAGCAAAAATATTTTACTTACCACAGGGAGAATTACAGAATACGAGCTGAAAGAGACATGGGAAAATTCTAAAAACAACTATATTAAACATATAGACGTCATTTTACCATACATGAACAAACTTGGTTTAATGACAAAAGTTCAGGATGATCCTAATGGACACATATATTACATTCCAAGCATGAACAGAACTGATTTTCCTAAAGATACAATCAAGAGTAGAGAGAAAACCTCAATAATGGTGTTCCGTTTCAAAACATATTTGCCTCATTTTTTCTTCTTTCGACTGGTTGTAAACTGCTTAAAGGAATGGGAGGCCCTAGAAAAGAAGTTGTATAAAAACGCAGCATTTTACAAGGTAGAAGATGCTAGCCATTATATTGCCATTGCGGTTAACAAAACATCCATCCAATTGCAAGTGTTTACTCCCGAAGGGATGCATTTGCAGACTCAATGTGTCGTACAGATCAGAAAAACAGTGGCGAGTCTGCTTACAGAAATAACGCAAACTTTTCACAGACACATTGAATATGAAATTGGATATTACTGCAAAGACATAAACATTACAGATGAGGATGAAGATTTCTTTATTAGTGAAAGTGACGTTATGAAAGTAGGAACAAGCTCTGGTAAAGGACAAAGGCCTTGTCCAAAGCATGCCATCGAAAACGTGCATCAATTTGACAAACAAGGAATACTGCAATTCTGGGTCTAGAAAGATGTCATTTACTTTTTGTTTGCGAAAAGGGTAATATAATGATTATTCAATTTGATAAAAAAAAAAAAAAAAAAAAAAAAAACCTGCTTGAACAAGGAACATTTTTTATGGTTTTTGTTGTATATCCTTATGTGTAGGTATTTTAGCTCAGTTTTCATTTCATTTAAGCAAGCTTAACTAAGATGTCAGTCCTACAATTTATTTCTTTTTTCTGAATTTGTAAGGATATTGCAATATCTGAAATTCAAAATAATGTAAATAATATTATAGAGTGTCAGGATCATTCAACTATATTCCGTATTACAACTATTTTCTAAGGCACTATTAATAATTCAATATTTGTATTCATTTTCCTATTACAATTACATTCAATATGATTAACAGCAAAATTAGATAGCTCTGTTTTTTTAATACTTAAGTCTTAAAATATCGAAATGTTTAATTTGCAGTCAACAACATTTCTTGACAGGATTTTTAAAAAAAAACCCAGATAACCTTTATTTAAAGTCAGTATGGCAGTTAAAAAGACAACACAAGCTCTTATGAGCTTTTGACTGACATTATTAATATATACATAACAGTAAAATTACATAACAGTAAAACAATAAAATAAATGTCCAGTTGTATTTGGTTTTTGATTTTTGTCTCGCTAATAATATTTTCATAACCTATTACATGTAAATCAACGGAACTGTCTGTAATATGTTCATTATATTAATTTTTCACTTTGTATAATTATCATTTCTGTAACATTTTATAATCATTGTAGAATTACCAGTTTTATTTCCATTAATTTTAAGCGCAAATGAGCTTCATCGATTAAAGTTTGCAAATTATTTTTGTGTCAGTCTGAATAGATGTGTGCTTAGATTAACATTCTACATTTGCGCATTTTTAAATAAATGAATTTATTCCACTTTTTGCACAAGACATTTCTGAATTTTTGGGATACAGAAACGGTAGGACAAAAAATTTCTCATATGTAGCACATTTTACATAGAAATGTACAAAAGTAAGGGTAAGTAAACTTTGAAATAAAACCTCGTCTATATGTAAGACTCAAAAGACCGATGGTCACGATAAAGTCTGATGGTCTGATATTTTTAGTGATGCGGGAAAAACAATGTTAATGACGTCAAGATAGACCGACGACATTGTCGATGCCCGACTTTCAAAATCCATAAAATAAGTGTTAATCTTCTAAACACTTTTCGACTGATTTGAGTTATTCTTGAACACCACTTGACTGACTAGGTTGAGTCCTTTAATACTATTTATTAGGGTTAGTTAAACTATTCAACCGATCAGGATTAGCTTTGCACACACTCGAGAAATACGATAGACTCCATTAGGTTAGTCCTCGCACCCATTAGAGAGGTTGGGGTTAGTCGTGATGCAAACTGTTGTGTCATTATTTTCACATTGTCTATGGAATTTTCACTTTACCTGATAATGACAGGGAGTACATGGTGAGCGTGTCCAGTCGACAGGGAATGCTTACTTCTCCACGGCACCTGACCCTATCAACATGTTAGCAATTTGTATTAATTAACTTTTGAGCATAACTGTTTGTAAACATCGTATTTCACTTAAATCTTAGTACATGTATCTGGGCTTAGCACTCTGACAGGAAACTTGAACTTTATGCACATCTCAAATACCAGTTTCAGATTTCAAGTATGTGTATGCATATGCATGCTTTATATTTTAATCGTGCACTAAAATCGTATGTTTATAGTTTATAGAATTGTATATTCGGGTGACTGTAGTTGTGAACCAAGGGTATTAAATTTGAATTGATTTGTGTATGCATATGAATATCTTATATTTTATCATCTTTTTGAATAACAATTTCATGAAAATACTTTCGTTTGAAGAAAGAAATAAATTTTGCAAAAATCTATTAAATATTTTATAGAACTGTATATAGGATTGCTTTCGCCTCGTGTTATTTTCGCAATTTGCAAACAATTTTGCTTCGTTTTAAAATTCGCCCAGTCAGAATTCTGTTGAAGAAATTATGTTGTGTGTTTTTTTTAAATCGCCCGTTTTAAATTCTCCCACCTGTGAGTAGGGCGATAGGGGTGAAAACAAAAAGGGGCGAACATTTCCCTGTATAGAGTATTTTTAAAGAAATTAACTGCTATTTTTTTTAAATTATTTATGAAGAAAAATATGTAAAAAAAAAAAAAATCTGTGAAAAGATATAAAAAGAAAAAAAAATAGGGGAATTTATTTTTTACTTAAATATTTATTCATATGAGATGATACGATATGATATGAACCTGTTTATTGTTTAAAAATCGTAACCCATATGGCTTCTCAAACTCGCAGGTTATGGCCTGTTTGCGCAATCTGGCAAGAAAAATATCAATTTGTTCTGCTTCACCTTGTGTTGCGTTCCTGAACAAATGACGCTTGAAGTTATGGTTGGAAATACTCATTAAATTCCTTTTTGAGCGCGGTCCAGGCCGTCTCCCGAGTCACCAAGGGTATCGAATATTTCCTGAACCATACTTTCCGCGGAATATAGAAATAGAAACTGAGCCCGTTTTGCGCTTTATCGGTAATGCCGGACGCTGTTAGGTAAAACTCAAAGGTTTTCTTCCATCTGCCCCGCCTAATTGAAACACTGGCTTGGTCACCATTAACAACAAACGGATTAATTGCAGGTATCTGCAATGCCTATGCCATTGGGCAATTTTATCTTCGTTGCCAATGTACTGCCCTTGTTTATCGTGCGCTAGACACTCATGATGAAAACACGTTTATTCAGTTCAATGTTTTAATTCTAAAACTACATAACTAAGCAATTTTACAAACCGAGTGGCTGAGGCTGTCAACATCAATTACTGACTTAATATTAAACATGACTTTTTGCTGATAGTGCACATTCCTATACGTGGGAAACGTAGACATGAAATCATTATTCAATTATTGAAATAATGACAATTTAAATTTGTAAAAATATTTCAAAAAACCGTGTATTGAGCAGTATTTTTTTATTATTAAAAAAATGACCTAGCATGTAAATTTTCTCTGGAAGATGACAACTTATTTTTCAAAGTAGCCCTACATTGCGTAAGGTACGGATATGAATAAAGATTCATTCAATATAATAAATGAATACAGTAAAAATGTTCATCTTACAAATAAAATTTATAAAAGATATATCAAACAAACGGCATTTTGTAAATAATCAATCAAGTATTTATTTATTTTATCTATTTATTTATTTATTTATTTATTCTACTTTTTTATTTATATTTTTGTCAACTGACAGTGTCTACATGTACATGTCAGCTGCATATGTAAATTAATTATACGCAATGAAACTCTAAGATGACGTAAATGTAAAATGATATCCCGATGATCATTTTATAAATGATTATTATGTTAAAATGATAATAAATATTAATAATGTTTTTTTCAAAAACAGATCACATGAGTTTTGTTAAGATTTATACATATACTTTTGTTTTTAAGACACGTAGGTGTCGATGATTCAGGCTTAGAAAGTTAATTTATAAGAAAAAAAATGGTGACAATCACCATCATGCAGCCAGATTTTTATTATTAAATAATATTAAATCACTTTTTTTCATAAATGGATTCCAATTGTGAGCATTTTTACATGCAACCAGCTTCTATATGCATCAGTCTAATACAGTTGGAAAAAGTTGATGTTGATATGATATGGGGGATAATTTGCATTTTGTTGCCTAGTACATATTGTTGACGGGGAAAATAAGGACCTACCCTCACTGCACAAAGTCCAAGGGTAAGTATATATTGACACCGGTGTCAATATGCGTCCAGTCGAGCTTTTTTTTTCTTTTCCTGCAGAATAGACGACAAAATGTACCTAACATATTGGTGCACATTGTCATCGGCGAAAATACTGTAAACGTTCCTGGTCGTGATGGACAAGTACATTGTAGCGTACAGCACTGTGCTATCATCGCTACATACTGTTACTGGGTTTTAAAACGACAATGAAGCACAGCATTTACACAATGTTATTTTCTTTTGGAAAATTAGATGTAGGGTGAGTTAACCATGCATCGGACACATACCTTGCTTCGGACAACTTTCAGCAATAAACTTTCAATGAACCCGAGTCTCCCCGTGTTTTTACTTGTTTCTGTCTTAAAGGTAAAGATATAAACTTTTTAGTGATGCCGATTTTTATTTCCATGTTGTGATAAAAATACCACAAGAATGGCCTTGAAATTACGTCATATTTTGCATCATTAAAGGGGAGTAACCAGAATTTTACGATTTTGCAATTTTTAGAGTTGTCGCTCTTTTAAATAGACTTCAACGGAACGAGTCGGACCTAGGTAAAATTTATCAATGATTGATAATTTTACAGAAATTTTTCAAAAATTTTACTTCAATGTTTGTAAAATAATTTTTAGAGTTGTCTTTTACTAGTATGTTTATTTCACCGTACATCGGACACAAATTAACCATGCATCGGACACTTTCCGATGCATGGGTAATCACTTCCATTTTCATGTAAAACCTAAATGACAGCTGTTTTTTACGGAAATAGAAAATAGAAACTCTAAATTTTCAGTGAAAATACAGATAATTGATATATGACGACTAGAAGTGGACTCAATTTATTTCTTTAAACTAGATGATTTTAACCCACGAGACAAAGGCGTGAGTTGCCATATTACTAGCATTGTAAAGCCTTTCTAAGGCGATGTGATGCAACTAAAATCTCTTCATATTTGTGGATCGAAATAGTCATTCAAATTTAATTAGAAGTTTAATTTTTAAATAAAAGATAAAAATGTTTCGATATCAGTAATTTTAAAGCACCGAGATCAAGGTATGATATTTTTCTGGTATAAATATCGTATGTCCGATGCATGGTGAATATTGTCCGATCCATGTTGAATTCTGACTTATTTCGAAAAAATCGGTTTTTAATGATATTTTCTCAATAAATAGGGCACGAATGTGTCAAAAATTTATAATTTAACCACGTACTACATGTTAAGTTCCATTTTGATAATATTCGGTCGGTAGCGATATCGCTAGAACT